AATTTAATATAATAATACAATATAACATACGGTATATAAGAATACCTACTACTTGTTAGTATTTAGTATATTATATGTATACCTATTATTATTATGTCAAAGTATTTTGTATATTTATTTTAGACATTTCATATTTAACGTGTATATAAGGCATTTATAGAATTATTATTGTTATTARCTATTGCGGTTTTAATGAGTCAAAACAAAAATAATATCTATTAAAAATGTTTATYGAAATTCCTAAAATGTTCACAAAACCTATTCAATACAATACAATAAGTTATTAAATTGTTTCAAATACAAATTTTGACGGTTAAAAATATAATTWTAATTTAAATAAGTTTTTATAAAAATATATAATTTGTTATCGTAGCCCGTAGGTAACGAATTAAAATAACTGGAAAATTAATTCAAATATTAATTATAAAACGTTCAAGGTTTGAAGCTCTGTGTTTTCTGCAAGTTATTTTAAATATTTAAATGGCGGTTTTATTTATTAAGTATAGTTTTATCAAAATACATTCCAATTATTTTCGTCAGACCCTAATTACAATTGTAACATAGCGATGTTACACATTACACATTATACAGTACTACTACGTCTACATATTATATTAGTATAAAAAAATGCTATGTCTTAAAATATTACCTAATGTATTCCAAAATTTACGTGAAAAGGTGAGAGAAGTCACATTTTTTTTGTTCATATAATCGGCAAAATATGTAACTGGAAACTGACACAGCCACATGGCCAAGTAAGGTAATGCAGACACAAGTCCATTCTGAAAACGTTTACCACAATTTTTACTCATTATTGTGATAATTAAATTTCTTACTGTCATATTTAATTTTACAKAAGAAATGTGTATAAATCAATATAAGTATATATATATAGTRTATATGTGTAATATAAGYTAGCTACTTCCGAGTTGCGTGAACAATCAGTACAAATTTAACGGACCAATAGTTGCRGGCTGATGATCTGATGATGTCCCTCAAATATTTTTTAGTCRCCCATAATTGCAGGTCGATTAAATTATATTAAAACATTAAATTAATACGTTTTTTATGCAACCCCATCATATATGTGTTACTGTTCAATATCTAATGAACATAATGCACTATATTTTCTGCCTTGCTTTACTTATTTTCGCCCAAGTTCTTCGTTACTAAAATGTCCACTGTTTTTCAATATCAAAACATTTGTCCTAATTTAATATTGTCTTCGCTTGAAGGGATTTGACTATCGGCTAATAWGCATATTTTTTTAACGTTCAGTTGTACAAATAAGCAGTACAGTTTCATAWTATAATATAAGCATATAGGTACAAGCTAATTCTTACCGATTTAATGTTGAACTTAAGTACAGAACTTATAAATGTGGGCATTTCACTAAGCAGCAACCAAAATCCACAATTGTGACCAGCGTGTGAGATCGTAACAGCCCATACTGGCATTGAAGTGAATATCTCTTTCCAAGGAGTTATCAAATTCTA